TTACTATTTGAATGTTATTATCTTTGGTGTAAATTACTCTGTTTGTACACTTGGTTGACCAAATACGTCGTGTGTTTGTTCGTCATCTATATTTTACGATACAATGACATGAGCGTGTTACCGTTCAGATTTGAGGATATAGCTGATAGAGGGAAGTCAGCAAATGAACTCTGCAACGATTTTCCAACCTAGGGCGTCAACATGAGAAGGGTTGTAGGCGTACTGCTGTAAGTCCTACAACTCTTCAAGGGTGGTGTAACGAAGCGTTGTCCATCGTACTTGGTGTGTCATTTTGTACATATGTTCATGTTTTATATACCGAAATGGTATCAGTTTTCATCTGTCTGTTTGTAACTTCGTTTGTGTCCGGACGACTTCCACTTGGATCATCAACCTGAGAAGGAATGTAGGCGTACTCCTGTCAGTCCTACAATTCTTCAAGGGTAGTTCGTCAAGCCAGAATCCACAACATTTGATTGTACATATGTTTGTGTTAAATAGTTGTGTGAGTTCCAATTATCGTAATTGTTGGTTAATCTTGTTTGTGTCCGGACATTCCACAACTTACAATCGTCAACCTGAGAAGGGTTGTAGGCGTACTGGTTTAAGTTCTGCGATTCTTCAAAGGAATTGCTCGAAGACATGATCCGCGATTTTGTGTGTACTGTTTGTACATTTTTTGCGTGTCATATCAATTGTTGTTTTTTGATTCATTGTGTTTATTTGTTGTTTTCGAATCTTGTCGTTACTGCATAATTTTGTCGAATTGTTCATCGTGCTTTCTTCTGAAGTTTTTTCGAGTCTTCCACATCCGGGAATGAATTGATTGATGTTAGAGACAGCAGATGGGTCGTATGCGCCGGGGAGGCTATTTCTGAGAATGAAATGCACACGGAGATAATTGTTAGGTGCGGTCCCACACGCCGGGGAGAAAGAGTGTAAACAACTGAGGCTCGCACACGTCACCGTTACTAGAATTGAGGCAGAATGAGTGACAAGCGATTTCAGTGGTAATTGGTAGTGAGTAGATAATAGGATGAGCGTGGGTATCGTGAGGTACTGCCATAGTCACGTTGTATTCTGCACGAGTCATTCTAGCAAGTGGCGACTGTGTTGCAAGAAGATGTGTCAAGAGGATACCTTTAACTGGAAGGCGCAAGTCGTCATTGATGTGTGGGATTGTGCTGTGAGTATGCTTGTGGTGTGTTGGCTTTTCTGTTTGTTTTCCATTTCAGCTCTGTCCGTGTGACCCAGGTTCTCGCAATGGCATCCGAGTCAACGTGTATTGGTCGTGATGGAAAAAAGGGATGGATCGGTATTTTTCCGGGGAGTGTCAATGTAGTTGAAGATTGAACGATCAATTCATGGTTGTTTGCTCAAAATCAACTTCCCCAATTTTCGCGGAGGCATCAATACGACAGTCATCGTCTCATCGGTCGCTGTTCCGAAAGAAGTCAGCAGAAAACCGTCAGAAGTAATATTGTGATTTATTATTGTAATATTTGTTCTCAGACCTTAGTCTGTAATGCCAGTAATGCTTGTTATATATTGGTGTTAGAATAAAGAATTCTCGAGTCGCCAATATGTGTTCTGGTGTTTGCGTCCGTTAGTACTAAGCGTTTCTTAAAAGCTTCGAGGGACAGCGTGAGGCCCAGCGTAGCAAGAGCTGGGCATTAACGGTTTACGAGACGTGATTTTGAAACTGTGAGTTCAAATTGGAGTTGAATATCTGGGTTTTATTTTTTCATAGTTAGTGAGTTACCCTCTAGTCAGATTTGATAGAAATGAATGATTGCTTACTTTTCCTATGCTAGCTTTGATATTCTCGTCAGTTACGCATGTACTTGAAACGATGCTGTTATAACTGTAGGGAATTCAAGGAAGACGTTGTCACCTTGTTCTGTCTGCGCCTGAACTAATCTGCCTATCTGCTTGTCGTACCTTCCGATTTAGTAAAGCACGCAAATATCAAAAGACAAAGGCTGGACTGTGACTGTGTATTGAAGTGTAACAACGACAAAGAAAGCCATGGTATTTATACATTTTACAACAATATGGACAGCTAACAGCATTTGAAATAGTTGATCTTAATAGCCAATAACAAAGTGCGTGAGAGATGATAATATACCATATGTGCGAGATTGACAGTCAATAACAAAATGTGTGGGAATGATAATATACCATATATGCAAGATTAACAGTAAATACCAAAATGTGTGAGAATGATAATATACCATATATACAAGATTAACAGTCAATACCAAAATGTGTGAGAATGATAATATACCATATATGCAAGATTAACAGTCAATACCAAAATATGTGGGATCCTATCAGATACTTCCAAGGTAGGTGGGTATGTGCGAAATTTGCTTCCCTCAAATTTCTCCCGTATTTGCTCCCTGATTTTGTCTGTTGTTGCTGTTGACCAGGAGTCTTCACCCCTCTGTTTTCTCTATGTTCATCTGAAGTCCTTAGTTCAGAATTAATGAGGTTTTATTCAGGATTATAGTAAGCTTGTGAGACCTCAACTAAATTTCATTTTGTATTATGAACAGTAAACTATCTTAACCTTGTAAATACGAATAAGCTCAGTGATTGCTGCGTCGGTGGAACAGCGGTTTGGACTCTCGCCGACCTTGCACATGGCCCGGGGTTCGATCCCTTACCTGCGCACACCTGATAACAACGGTCGGCCAGCAAAATTCGGGCTACCGATATCACATGCTGAGAATTTCATACTTGTACCGAAAACGCGCTGTGGAATCGAACTATAATCCAAAAATTCCTTAGCTGTCAATTTAATCACTGTGAACTTCAGACTAAAATTTAGTTTTATGGCAGCATCCGGTGACAGAAATTTATCTCGACACTTTAATATATGCAAAACGTCGTAAAACACCTTAAATTATTAATGGTGGACCAGCGTAGTGGAGTCAAAAAGCTCTAGTGTGGTGAGAGCAGGCTGCTAGCCGATTGGTTGGCACTAATCTACGTTAAGGTCTAGGTCACTAATGTGGGCCGTGAGAAGATATGAACAAGGCTGAGTCAACAACCAATCACAGCAAAGTTAACGTGGCAAAATATGATTCGCAGATAGAGAACTCTATTTGTCAAGGAATCCCGAAACAACCAATCAGATGACTGCGCTTGTCTAGAATAATGTAGTTGAAATATGTATAAATACGTGTTGATTTTCATAATAAAACGATCTGTTGCCTGGCCCTTGTCTTCTGCTGTTACACTAGGAAATCCTAACGTGATTTACACTCAATCATGTTATCTTTGCAGAGTATATTTATAATTTCTGGTTGATAGTTGGTAACAGTTCACTCATCTAGTGGTGCAGTGTTATAAAAAGTCTTGCATATTAGAAATCCTGCGTTTTCCGTTGAACTTGGGGATCTAGGTTTATCATTTGCAGAGGTGTGATGAAAGAGATATGTCTGATAGCTTTAATTGCACGTAGACCTCACTTATAGTAGGGCTGTTACCATTTAGGTGAACGGGGGCGGTAATTAGCTATATCGTCAAGGGAATACCCAAGTAGCACACTCCCAGATATGTGTTTACTGGTGTTATCAATACCTCGATTAAGATTCTGCAGAGAAAAATCTTGATGTCTCACATGGGAAACAATAGGCCTCTGTCTATCACGCTTGATTTGCTAGGATGACTGTGCTGTCTGACAAACATCAAGGCATGAGAAAGCCCTGTCATTCTCGAAGACAACAGGGAGCTCGTCAGTGAAGTCAGTATAAAATTGTGTAGAAACTGGGTAAACATCACGCCAGACTGTTCATGAACCTGGAGAGTTTGGGAGTCATAGTGAGTCTACTCAACTAGGATCAAAGTATATTTTGTTGACAGTGGGCAAAGAACTCTCCTCCTGACTGTCCTTTGTTTCCTCTACATGTCAACAAGCTATCTAGATTTACGAAATCCCCATGATTCTCTTCTCTGATGGCCTGGAAATGTGGAGCAGGGTCAAGGGGGGCAGTGCCTGACTTTTAGTTCTAATAGGCCTCAATAAATCCTCAATAAATAAGGCCTATATAAGCTACTCGCTTGGTTTGTAACCAAGCATATCACCTATACATGCGTCAAAAAACGCAATATAGAAGGGAATGTTCTCACCCGAGTCCATATGCATCCCTGAGTGAATGTCATGGTAAGTCAGGACTGCATGTAAACTGATCTGGCCGATATGTGCCCGGGTTCCAGCCTCGAAGTTCCTAAGATGTTATTCCAAGTACTAGAGATTGGCCATGTTTGGAATGAATGAAGAGACTGAGTCCTATTTAACAATCATGCCGCAGTAAGAGAGTTTAGAGGCTGACGGTATTGACGTTCACGGATGGTACGAAGTATGTTAAAGCAAGATCTAATACCCACAACCTACATAGTATTCGTTCCGCGTAGACCAAAGGCAAAGCAAGACGCCAGAATTGACCGTCCAAATTACGAGTTATATTTCGGGACCAAATCTGAATGAGAGATGATTGCTTAGCTAGCTAGGCATCGTGCATGAGAGACCGAACGTGACATGAGAGCGTAACAAGTGGTATGGATACTTGACCCTAAGCCTTCAGCTAAACAAGTTGACTTAGACAGTGAGGGTCAACATCCGATGATCATTGATAAATGCTATGGCCGATAATTCGGGGGAATTACCTACCCCTATAGGAGGCTATATTTTACTCTTGACTCAAGTGTCAGTTTCTCTTTCTTTCAACGAGGTTTGAATGAATCAGTGGACACAAAGAGACAAAATGAAGGCTGGTCATTAAGGCTGTGAAGTACTGTACCCCAAGCTTAGAATCACCTTCCTGAAGAAACCACGCCTTTGTTTTCAATAGACCTATTGATGAATGGAACAAACAAATACATTTGGTTGTTCTTAAGGAACAAAAATTGTTTTCGAAGTTTCTATCTTTAACCGGGCAGTTGAGTCTGACCTGTCAGGGCGGTTGGTACAAGCAAAGCGTCACTCACAAGAAATGGTGTTGAAATCTGGGGCTTCGTCATTTATGTCCTTATCGTTGCTTCTTGTATTGTTCGCAGCAATGCGTCTATTTGCTGAGACACTATGTTCTTCAAAAATATTAACAATATTCGGAGGTTTTCTAGGCAGTTTGACTTTCGTCCTACTAATAACAGTATATTTAGTGAATTTTAATAATTCGTTATGCTATCTTAGTGTGTAAATAATTTTGAAAGAACATTTTTCGGTGAGGAATTTTCCTCCGGAGTTTTTCCTGAAGGTAATATTATCTAAAGTTAATTCCCCGTTTCTAAAGTGGTCACCTGCATTATTATTGCATGTTCCTTCTGTGCTACTGTTCATCGTGTCTGCGCTACTACTTGGTAAGATTACTTAAAGATTCGAAATATTTTATTGCCCAAGTTCCTGATAATTTGTGTTAATAATGGTTCACTTCACGATTACAAGGCAAATATTACTTATATCGTCTGTATGATTCTCTCTGGCTGGTGTGCGGCAAGCTTGTTATAAGTATTTGTCATTTTGTCGTATGAATTGTTAACAGTAAATACGAAAGCGCGACTAAATACTGGTCTTTTTAACCATCTAGTTGGTGCGGTCTTTGAATGCCTGCATTGTACAACAACGAATAAGCAAGCGTATTGTTCACCTGATTGCTATATATCCAGTCATAGGCATTCTGAAAATAAGATATTTGAGACTGGTTCAGTTTTATTTCCCCGCTTCCTTGTGCGTCGGTGGCACAGTGGTTAGGACTCTCGCCGACCATGCACATGGTTTGAGGTTCGATTTCCTGCCGACACACACCTGATATCTATGGTCGGCCTGCAAAATTTGGGCTACCGATATCCATGCAGAAAATTCAATACTTGTACCAAAAATACGGTGTGGAATCAGGCTGTAATCAAAAATAAATAAAATAAAAATGGAATTTCAGCATATGCTGTATCTAATTTAACTTAGCTCCTATGCAAACAGTAGCAACTTTGATCAGAGTACAAATTATCACCTCGATCAAAATACGTGAAGTTTAAATTTGTGACTCTCAGTATTTATTAATGAGAAACGTAAATAAACAAACTAGAATTCTGAAATCATTGAAATTTGTAGCTTAAGATGAGGATGGATGCCGTAGTGGTGATTTCGCTGGTTTATGTGCACTGCAATGTTTTATTAGCGAAGTAGCCTGCTAATGACCTACGGGATATTTTTGATGTAGGGTTAAACACTCATTTGTTAACTTGCGCTAACTATATTTCTTCTTACTCATAATTAGCTAAATTTAATTATTCCTTTTTATAGCTTTATATTCTCTCTGGTGATGTTGTATTACCTGAATCGTATATCACATGAAACATACCAAAGCAAAGAACAACTGAACGCATCTTTGCATAGGAAGAAGAAAGACTAGTATTTTGTAGCAGGGTTGTGATCACTACTAATATGTATTTTTCAAACGAGACATCTTTCCTTTTGAATCCTTTATTATTTTAAACATTAGTTTGAAATATATTTGAATATTTCACCGAAGACTTGACTTTTGAAAAAAGAAATCGAATCAAGGTCGTGCTAGGTAAGTCGGGAGTGTTCCTCACAACAAAATTAACACGGTGAATGTGGACGTCTAGCGCTTACAACCGGATTGGTTCAACGTTCATGCCTATCTATGGGAATTCCATGGAAAATCCTGACTTCCCAGCTTGGCGTGTACATGGTCTCCAGAATCCGAACAGATCAGATGACTACACTGCCGTGTAGATCAGATTTCAAGTCAAAGACTGGAGGGGGGGGTTGGGGGAGGGGATGGTCCCTTAAGAAACAACCACGTGCTTTTGCCTGTGCATCCGAGAGGTATCTTGGTCCTCGTAGAAACTATGAGATTTTGGTACTAATAGTGTACCAAGATCAATTATAAAAGATATGATATGTATAACCTTTCTTCGCCTTAGGTGAATATTCTACAGTATGACTTAATATGTATCATTACACTTGGGAGAGAAATTCTTCATGAATTTGGCTGTTTGTTTTGTAAATTTCAGTATTACACATTTCATTACCTTGCTCAGTCGTAACGCACTGGAAAGTTAATCTTATTTACTATCCTTGGATGACAGCTTTCAATTCATGATTAATTCTCCCATCCAGACGTGTTAATGGCAACAAAAAGACCTAATTCAGTGAAGAGGTTTTTCTCGTCGAATTTGTCTTCCCCTTTAGCTGTACAATCACATTTATATACAATTTTGTCTTTCAAGGGTTGTAACGAATGTGATGAGTTGTCTTGATTATAGTTGCTAGTATTAATGAATGCATAAGAGAAGTTGAATTAGAGTTCTATAAAAGGATGAATAATTTGATGAATTAGTTGTAATCAGGATGCACATAAAAACGAAAAAAAGTGTGGAATTATTTAAGAGTGAGTTAGAAAAAAAATACGAAAGTTCTAAGGAGTTAGAAAAACAGACAAACAAACAAACTAACAAAAGTGAAGTCAGTAGAAATGTACAAAGTTGTTACCATAATTGTGGAAATGGTTGAATAATTTTCTTTTGTATGCAAACCTTTGGTTTTCCCAACTGAATGGCTAAGACTTCAGTCATGCAAAGGAGACGAAAGCAGGTTATTTTTCGCTTTGAAAGAGGTATCCTCAAAGTTTTCCCTGTTACCTTCAGCACTCTCCCAGTTATTTCTTTTGTGGTGCAGCTCAAGCTGCCCATATTGCTTGGCAATTTTGATTGCACAGACTAAGTAGTATTGAGATCTCGAGTGATTCATCAAGTTTCTATTCTTTTGGGAGTATTTTAGCGGTTTCACAATCTGATTGTAGTGATAACTGACACCGCACCTATGTTTTTATCTAATTACTTCCAATTATTTTCGAATCTAGTCTCTTTCAATTTGGGATTCCTCAAACAGGAAGTCCTTTTATATTCGAGGTGAGATTTTATCAGCTAACAATCCGATAGGGTTGATGCCAACTTCCCAAATTAAGTGAGTTGATCAAGTTCACTAGCTGTCCTTAAACTAGATGTTGGTACAGGACAGTCATACGTTATCTTCCATTTGACTGGGGTCAGTTTCATGCATGACATCTGTAGGTTTCTTCTCAGAGTGTTCAGAAAACTTTGCATATTGTTGGTGTTATCCGTGTACTCTTGGTCAACAAGACTTTTATCAAGTGGCAAGTGAGTCTCTGAGACATCAGAGTCGATTGGAGTAGCTTCCATTAGTACATATGTACTAAGATTAAATAAGAATAGTGACAATTGGCATCACTCCGAAGAATAATTCTACGCAAGCCGTCACATGAATGTATGTTGATTGGTAGGACTTAGTTTCCGGGCGTTCCCTTCACAACCGAATGTTAGTCAACAGGTTCAATTGTCACCTTCAGGCTACGGAAGAAGTCAGTTTTTGGACGCTGCTAAGTATGCCTGTGTTCCAGTACTCGTCGAAGAGTGAAAATATGATAAATACACTCTCGTTGGAACATGAAGTCTACTCAATTTTCATGGATTTTTTTCTTCCCAAGCCTCACTTAGTCTTTACAGAACAAGGGGATCTAGAATTTTTGATAAAATGTTATATATTATTCTGAATTCTGTGTGTAGATTGGGATGTTCAACAATCTACACCACTTTGACGTGACTGTCTCAGATTTTCATAAGCTAACTGACGCCTCGGTTAATATAATCCATAATTCACTTCTACTATACTAAAATATCTTTGATGTCATAACATCAAGTCTTACTGCCTTTTGTACTTTCAGATTAAAGACATATTCTGTAATCTCCGCTACTTTTGGAGGACTGATATCTACACCTTAACTAGGTTAGGGTTGGGTGTTGAGCAGTGGTAGGCCAATTGATGAACTGCTCCTCAAAATATTCGCCCCCAACGTGCTCCCACTGTCTCTGATGAAGTCATACAGGATTCCTTGCCTATTGGAGATCTTTTCATGTGCCGCGGTTTCTCTTCAGAGCCGGTTGATGGCTTCTTCAAGATTTTACAAAAAGAAAACTGAATAAGAACTTAATAACAGATAACATTCTGTATAGGAAATATCATTAAATATAAAAGTGTAATCCGAAGATTTATTCACATAATTATGGGATGTGTGGATTCATGCACACACACGCAGACACATGGGCCTGGCCGCGTTCGTAGTTCGCGTTGTATGTCCTTGGTTCATTCGTTAATTTTTCCGATTAGTTTTATTTTTGTTAGATGATCTTCTGTGAGATTTTCTTTTGCGTCTTACACAATCGCTGAAAAAAACAATAACAGAAAAAGTGGTTATAAATGGAGAGAGGAGAAGCTTTAAGAAGAACTTAGTGAAGTTACTTTTGAAGAAATTCTACGTCGGCTGATTAAAGTGAATATTTATCAACTGTGACATCGGTGTGATAGTGATATGTAGTCACATGATGTCTACCTTGTTTCGAAAGTCTGTTATATTTTGCGATGTGTATATGAACCGATATTCCATTATAACTGACATTATGCTTTTGTCTGTCCACTAACTAAATAAACAATGTATGACCTTGTTATCTCATGATATTACAACCAATCATGGTAAGATGTTATCTTAGTGGTTCATGTGTACTAGTCATTTTCACATATACTTTGCATTGTACACTTATATATATTCTTGTTCCCATATTCGTACATCTAAGTATCCTTTCACTCACACTCTTGTGTGACATTTATTTTCCTTGTCTGGAAAATACAAGTATCATCGTAAACTTGGTGGTCTTCTGATTTCCCTCTTTCAGGCCACAGGAAACCTTGTTTGACCTAGGTTTCGTGCTAGTTGGCACTCAACAGTCAGCAAGGAGTATCTGCAACCCTGAGGGAACTCATGTCCCTTCTGAGATTCGAACCCGTGCCACCCAGTGAGAGCTGCAGTCAGAGACGCTACCACTGAGCTATTCGGGCTCGCCATTGAACTCGTGTAGCACTCTAGTGGGTATTTTCATTGGGCACTAGTAACTAGTGTGAAGTGTCTAGTCCTTTCTTTGGTGCAGACTGAATTGATGTTTAAAAAACTTGAAATCTTTGAACCGAGAACGTTTTTATTTATTATTGTATTATCCCCTTGGGTTTTGAGTGAGACAAAGGAATTCAGCAACACATCTCCATTTTGTCCTATTCTCTGAGGTTCTCTTCAGCTTGGCCCCAGTGATTGCCCATAAACTCATCTCCTCCTTATTACACGATATCCTCTATATTACTCTCCGACTCACGCCCAACTCGTTGTTTCCCGTTCGGTTTCTATTCTGCGGATGGCCTGGTCCGCGATGTCGTTCGACGGTCTCCTCATTGTGTGTCTGATTCACCTCCACTTTCTTCGAAATATTTGTTTATCAATAGCTTCTTTGGTTGGTCCATTCCTAGAGTTTCTTGTTTCTAATTCCTTCTGATGAAAATCTGCAGTTGGTTATTGAAGACGCTCTCGATGACGCGCTGGCCAAGTTTCATACCTTTACAGGAAAACTGACTAACTTAACCGTGGTTTTGAAAATCCAAATACTATTGTCGATGTTCAGGTGGAATGCAGAAGATTCTCAAACTGATTTCATAGTGATAAAAGTCTATCTCAACTTTCCGATCTTGGTTTTCACATCCTCGTCTGTGGGGGCAGTTGAAACGATGCTCGCTACCTAGATAACTCAAGGAAGTGTGACCTCTTTCAAGTATCTTCCGTTGATAGTGATTGGTTCTTGTTGTTGTTGTTGGTTGTCTGGTTGGTTATCTTCATCACCTCCATCTTCTCTATATTCACTTGAAGTTCTCTGCCTTTACTGCATCCTCTGTCAGTTTGTTGGTTTTCGCCTGCAGATCGTCCTTAAAGTCCACATCTTATACAATTTTTTATTGACTTTATGCTTATTGTTTAGACGTGATCATGATAAAAAGTCAGTAATGTGGCTATTGTTTCCTTGGAGATGTGGTGATGTTAGCTTTAAAGTTTTAGGTAAACGTTGTCAGTACTGTTGCCCAGTAACATATGCTGTTTTCTTACAGAAATCGGATTGGCTAGATAGTTTTAGTTTATGGGTATTTCACCGTAGGAAAGTGTTTTATTGTAAGTTTTAACTGTTTGTATCACTGACTGATCTCATCATAGTATGTTAGGGTTAAACGTTGTCTAGTTTACTAGCTTGTCCTAAGCCTGTAAAAATCGAAGGAAGGTTAGGCGTGGAGTTGGAAACTGTATGCAGGAAAGTGAACCTGTATTGAAGACCGGTTGGTCAGCAAGAATTAGCAGTAAGGAACTCTAGCAGGCAACGAACCAACCAAGAACGTGTTGCCTAACAAGTATGACGAAGAAAATGGAGTTCGATTGGACATACGCTGACGAGACCATCGCGTTCCAGGTTATCACTTGAGTGGAGTCTGAATGGGAAACGATGAGTTTTGGTATGAGTCAGAGGGTGACATGAAGCAGATCAGAGACCATGGAGAATTGTGGAGTCATTTAAAAAGACTAGAGAGAACACGATGAAATGAAGATGGGCTGCTGAAGCCCTGTGTTTCACTTGGAACTCAAGGGAATAATAATAATAACGAATAGTATTAGGGTTAGTCATCATCATCAGCTAGGCAAAGAGCAACGGATTCCACTGGATATTCCTATGTATTCGTTTTTATAACTTTTTGTTTCATCATACAACTTGTGTTATTTTGTGAAGTTTATCTCTTGATCTTTCTATCTCATCAGTGACTTCATTTTTTTTCCCAATAGTAAACTGACTAGTTTGATTGATTTACCTGCATGCATTTGGATGTTTTCAAACGGGTTTTACAAAGATGAAAATCACTGAGGAGGGACTTCAATAGTGGACAAGTCAGTGAGAATTTGAGGTGAAAATAATTCACTATATAAGTTTAAAATATAATGTCTGTAATTCATCTAGGGTCTAGGAAATGTCTTGGTTACCTTGAATTCTACATTTATAGGTCTAAAAAATCTGTTCTGAACAGTTGGAGCATTGTGATAATTCATTTTCTATCTGTGAGATTTGAAAAATTCTATTTATTCTGCACTTGAATTTTTTCTCTTATTGTTCAGCACAATAATTTTCCGGTACTGGTTTGCAGGGGTTTGAGATAGATCACATACTGACATCAGTTAAGGCGGCATTGAAAACCAGCGGGGAGTATTGGACAGTTGTTTCATCCTAGTTTTGAACTCTTCACTATTACTCAACCAAGACCTTCAGATCGCGAAGTGAGCTCACTGCCCAGTTAGTCTTTGAGAGGGAATTAATCAGACGATAAATCCTAACTTCTGTCAATTCACGAAACATAGCTCCAAAATCAATTGACTGTCTAGTACTCTGTGCTGGTCGACGATTCTCTGACTGATGTCAGTCAGTCCATGATCTAATTCGGAATCAATCAATTCTCTAGAGGCCGACACTTGAAAACTAATCTAATACTTACTAACTAACTAACTGAAATTCTTGTGGGTGTGTAGCCAAGAGTGAGAACAATCAATCTCCGGTGAAATTCGACTAGCAATTGGAAGAAGTTAGAATTGATGGGCCATTTGATTCTTTCCCGATGGCTAAATAACCAGTGCATCTTCCTTGTGGATGCATGTCGTCGAAGAGCTTCAAACCTTGACAAACACAACTGTCCAGTCGTCGTTCTAACTGATGTCAATTCGTGATCTAACTCTTCTATTTCTGTTAAATCTTTCAAATCATGATCGTTTGTCATCTAAGCAGTGGATTTCGTTCGTTCTTCAACAAAGAACTGAAGTGTCTAACTACTGATGATACAAAGTTCTGCTCTTTTCATAAATTATTGACTTCTTAGATGGTTGTTATTTTAGACTCAGCATCCATGTAACTTGAATATGTTTCAAATGTTGTCATAGTGAAGTCACTGTTTTGTAGCAGTGGATTTGTATATGTTCAATGTGCATCATTTTTCAACTCAAGAAACATCAAACAACTGTTATCATACTGCCTAATATTCGGGAATCTTCTGTATTATATTGTTAAAGCTAAACGGTCTACATACTTCATTTCCCCCACCTATTAATTTTCATTCATAATGATTAATCTGATCTATTTCGTCTGCCTGAAAAGAAGCTGTGAAAATTACTACCTCTATGCACGAAGAATGTTTAATTCTAACTCAACAACCAGTTGTACACGCAAATTGACCAGCTAGATATGGGTTCACTTTTGGATCCTGTTCTTGTGGACACTGTTATGGCTCATCTTGAACAGACTTGAATGAAGCCTGAAATGCAGAGAACCACCTAATACTGTAGGTATGTTGACGACACGTTTGTCGTCTGCAATAATGTGGATCACTCATTTACGGATTTTGAAAAATTCACTGTGATTTACCCTCACATAGCATTTACAATGGATCATGAAGGTGAGAATCAGTTCCACTTCCTAGATTTCAGCATAAAAGGGAGAAATGATGGGACCATTGAAAAATCCACCTATAGGAAAAACAGACTTCTAATAGTCAATACTTGAGGTCATTTGGTAGATGGTGACTAGCAGTGGAATCTAGGATGCGCACCTCGTCCTGTTTGAGACTCATCATCTGGATGTACCTGCATTCCCAGTGAGTGATGGTGTTGCCAATCAGGCTTAAACCCGATGCCCATAATTTCAAGCTCCAAGCGTTATCCATTTGGGCCAAGAGAGCCACCTCTTGTACAGTGGGTCTTATTAAATTATTTGATTCAATTCTAGATTTTCCTCTCGATCGATTGAACCGAAATGCTTGGTCTCAGGATGACATGCAGGCTCCTTGTGCAGACGCTTCGACGATGTCTGGTCGTGCAACTTGAAGTATCACAGCGTTAATGGCTTTTAACGCTGAATAATTCGTCTACATACATTATCTTTGAAATTATATTGCCTATACTTTCTATCTATGGCTGGAAGTCTTAAAGTAAAAAAGTATGTCCATACACTGTTTTGTAACTTGTAACTGATTTTGTCTAAGATGTACACAGCTGATGATAATCCACGAGATACAAACGAGCTCGTAATATCCTGCAACCAAATATGCATTCGTTCTTTCTTTATTCATATCACAGTCTAATTGATACCGTAAATGGTAATCAGGGAAGTAAGCGTAACTGTACATACTACTCATCTATATAAGTAGTTGAACATCACTTAAGTCAATCGGTAGTTGAGATGATTTCGATCTGACTAGCTAACAAGCATTACTATTTGATGTGAATGGCCTCCAACTACTCATATCCAGTAATCAGTAGTATGTAATTTATGTTGAAATTGTTACACAGTTATTTTGCTAGTGAATGATTAGATAGATAACTTAATTGTTTAGAAACAACCAAAATAGATTATATTATTAGCCGTGAACTTACTCATAAACAACACGTGTACCTATCCTAGTGGAATTCTCCTTTGGCGTTACAGGTGAGAGATCCATGAGAGTTGAACAATTCTTATATTGAATTTTTAATGAAAAATTTTTAAGTAAAGAAAAGGCTATTCCACCGAATTCAAGAGATGTTATACCTGGAAAAAAAAGTTGGATATAATTTTTACACGGGTATTATATATCTAAATGGTTCGTAATTAGAAATTAGACATATTGCGCAGTCAGTGAAATAGTACTATTGTTCACTGAATGACGAAGTTCTCAACACACAATTCATCTATCGTCCATAATCACATTGTGGATTGTAACTGAACAACTCCGAAACTCCCATTCTACAGTTTTCTTTATTCCTTCTTTATTCTTCATATAAGTAGTAAAAATTTCCAGATGTCCGGGTGGACAGATGCTGAATTATTCCCACTATATGTGTTTATTGTTGATTCGATAGATAGCGCTTCCGTTATCGCTCTCTCCCGCCACCCTGTTACTTTAGATTTTAAAACTGTCATCTTATCCCATCCTAATATGTGATTGTGTGTGATTGCATGTAGTGAGTGCCATAGCTGAACTATTCTTCAGATTTTTCATCTGAGTGTGAGGTCAAGTAATCGAGATTTTGCTAGGTTTTTGTGCTTCTCCACTGGTCTGACTGACTGCACCTGTTCTACTACTTTGATCTGTGTATTTAACCTGATAATCATTGTAGGGAAGATAAACTAACAAATGAAGGCAGTTGCCATGGAGTCACCAATATCCCCGGTTGTGACAGATAGGTAGGAAAACTTAGCGTTTGAAATGTCCAGCCCCGCTTTTCACAGGATGACGCTAACAGCGTACTTAGAACACAGGGCATAAACAGATTTTTCTAACACACCAGCTCAAAGGTAGAGGCAATTCAGTTCACTTGTGATGAAATGGTTAGTCAGGAAGGGAAGCTTCCAATGTAAAGGAAACAAGATAGGAAGTTAAACACACCAGTGTTAACAGGAAACCCACACATTCAAACAGATATTTGGACTTCCGATCATCCCATCTAATGTCACTAAGAATAGGATTGGTGAAATATTTAAATAATAGAGCACAAAAACTAAGTAGTACCAAGAAAAACCTACGAGTTCAAGTGAAACATATAGGAGAATATTTAAAACTTAATAACTACCCTGATAAATTAATCAGGAAGTATATAGGGTAATGTAGAAATAGAATAAATAATGATAGTAGTGGTAGTGATAATAATAATGATGGTAATATTAATGACGACATGCATGTCAAATATGAGCAGGATAATGACAACACCAACAATAAGGAATCTAAATCATCAGTTGTAATCCCATACAAGGAAGGAACCTTGGAAACCTTACGCAGAATTTTTGACAAAACAGGAATAAAAGTGACTGGCATTCAAACCCACAAACTCAATCAGGAACACGCTTTGTCGGTTAAAGAATCCTGTGGAGCCTTTAAAACAAAACCACTTGGTTTATCTAGTACCCTGCTGGAATAATTGTCAGGTCAAATACATAGGTCAGAGTGGTAGAACAGGTGCAGTCAGACTAGTGGAGAAGCACAAAAACCTAGCAAAATCTCGATTACTTGACCTCACACTCAGATGAAAAATCTGAAGAATAGTTCAGCTATAGCACTCACTACATGCAATCACACACAATCACATAGTAGGATGGGATAAGATGACAGTTTTAAAATCTAAAGTAACAGGGTGGCGGGAGAGAGCGATAACGGAAGCGCTATCTATCGAATCAACAATAAACACATATAGTGGGAATAATTCAGCATCTGTCCACCCGGACATCTGGAAATTTTTACTACTTATATGAAGAATAAAGAAGGAATAAAGAAAACTGTAGAATGGGAGTTTCGGAGTTGTTCAGTTACAATCCACAATGTGATTATGGACGATAGATGAATTGTGTGTTGGGGACTTCGTCATTCAGTGAACAATAATACTGTTTTACTGACTGGGCCATATGACTGATAAACAAAGTAATATGGAATGTTTTAGTGACGTTAAACCACTATGAACACCTAACAGGTTAGAACACACCAATGACTTTGGAATGCTTAGTCAGAACATGTTCGATGAAAAACTGTTGAATAAGGCCTAACGATATATTAGACGGGATACCTAGTTAGTTTTAGGTTAGGTTACGAATGATTTGGAAAACAAAATCTACTTTTCAGCATTATGGTTTTTTTCGTGATCATCACTGATGCGTTAGCGGCTTTTGGGTGTCTGCCTGCATTCTCACTGCATAAATGATGCAACGGTGGTTAAGCATAAATGCGAAGTTCAGTCAATTCTCTCTGACAGTGACAATATTCTTAGTCAAGAAATCAGTATTACTCCCCTCCCTCCACTAAATGATTCGTTATTGCATACATTTTCATAGTATATTAACCACTAGGGGGTAAAAGGAGTTACCTTAGGTCTTAATGAATATTGTTGGTAAGTTAGAACTATGGTCTATGAGGCAAACTTATTTGGTGAAGTCCATTATAGATAAGATTTTTATTTTGACAAATCACACAGTGTTTTACAGTAATATTAACTGATGACGTTTCGAGCACAAACTATTGCTCATAATCAAATCAAGTTTGATATGATATAGTCAGCTCGAAACGTCATCAGTTAATATTACTGTACAACACTGTGTGATTTGTCAAAATGAAATCTTATCCATAATGGAGTTATGCTCTAACACAGTACCCAAGTTTTATACCTATATCATTTTGTGAAGACATATAATACTATGTAGTTGCCCTGACTGACTGAAATAGGTGGAATAAGGCTTGAACACATGACTCATTCATTGGATGTCTAGTGTGTGAGCCACCGTAGGCGATTTGTAAATTAGATGTAAGAAACCATGTACTATTGCTTTGATATTCCTATCACTAATACTGTGATTATGTTTGCTCACGTCTGCCTAAACATAGAATTTTATTAAACAATGAAGATATTAGTTTAATCTTGAATGTTGAAAAATTGGTTTCAACTTACACCACATATTGATATCAGTTAGAGGAATTTGTTGTTTTGAAACTCACCCGGTTCATGGGCTGATAGAGGTATCCGTTGAACAGCGGTCTGCATCATAATTATCTTTACGAATGACATGATCAGCGTACTAGTAAAGATTGTATTTATCATTTTCGAATAATGTATCTAAAAAGGATATATATATTTCTAGAAATCGGTTAACTGTGGTTAACAGAAGAATCCCGTGGTGAAATCACTCACTATTCAACGAGGATGCAGGTATATCCAACTAAGAGCTTTCGAGTAGGCGGATATGCGCTACTGGTGCGTTATACTACTAGCCACTAGCAAACGGAATAAAGACATGTTATTCATCAAATATATTATGGAGTTTATTAAAACAAATTAGTTCCTTTGATAAATTTGAATAAGACATTTAGAAGAGAAATTTCGTGAGATAATATCATCATTTCGTAGTTTCTCTATAACCGCTTTACAACTAACATGGTTCACAATAATAAAATAGAATAAAAGACATGATACTTACTCAGTTATATAAAACGAAAGTACATACGTACTAATCACCAATCGTATTTAAATACGTCAAGTAGCCAGACCATGGTAGGCGAAGGTTGAAGTCTATTGTTCTGTTTTGTACACATAGTTTAGGAAGTATGTGATTAATCCCCAAAGTGCTTCCATCACCTTCAATAACCAGCCTCGAATTAGAGTTATGTGATGAAACAATTGTGAAGCTGTCATTAATACTGATTTTGTGACATGACATTAATAAGTGCTTTGCAATGGATGGTGATGATGATGGATTTCAACTCAGATTACTTCCATTGAGATTTTCTATGTGTTTTAATGACCACTTTGGAACATGTTCTTTTTGACGATGACATGGGAACATTCTATTGGTTCTACCTATATAGGTGTCACCGCAACTGCAGGTTAGCCTGTAGATGCAGTTCGAAGTAGAGTTCACAGAATTTCGTCCTTTAATCGTAGGTACAGGGATCGAAAATGTTCGGTTTATCATAAAAAGTGATGCTACGTAGAATGTGCGTTTTGATGGCTGACCGAAGTCTTTGAGCTGTCAACTGTATAATTTGATCACCCTTGAGTGGTAAGTTAATAAAGATAGCTTTCTTTAGTACAGAAGCTGTCCAATCAGTGGCACAGTGGTTAGGACTCTCGCCGACCATGCACGTGGTCCGAGGTTCGATCCCCTGCCGACACACACCTGAAATCTACGATCGGCCTGTAAAATTTGGGCTACCGATATCCATGCAGAAAATTCAATACTTGTACCAAAAATACAGTGTGGAATCAAGCTGCAATCAAAAATAAAATACCCACTTTAGTCCTGCAGGAGGTCAATCGCGAGCCCGAATAGCTCACTGGTAACATCTCTGACTACAGCTCTCACTGAGTGACACGGGTTCGAATCTCAGAAGGGACATGAGTTTCTTCAAGGAGGTTGCAGATACTCCTGGTTGACTGTTGAGTGCCAACTAGCACGAAACCTAGGTCAAGCAAGGCTACCTACCGTTTGCCCACAGCTATCTAATATCATCAAATCAATGTGCACCGTGACGGCGAGCTACCTAGAATGGTGGCCACATTGCAAAAGCTGACTAGTAGAATTCAATCTGCACCAAAGAAAGTACTAGATACGTCACACTAGTTACCAGTGTTCAATCAAAATACAGAAGCTGTCTTTTCAAGATGTGGCCTATCCTTTCTGTAACAATTGATAAAGTTCTCTGGATAACCATTAGCTTAAAAAACTGAAAGTATATGTCGACGCTTACGCATCAATATGTCACTAGTACATATTGTGTGGGCCCCTGTGGACTCTACTTCGAACTGCATCTACAGGCTAACCTGCAGTTGCGGTGACACCTATATAGGTAGAACCAATAGAATGTTCCCATGTCATCGTCAAAAAGAACATGTTCCAAAGTGGTCATTAAAACACATAGAAAATCTCAATGGAAGTAATCTGAGTTGAAATCCATCATCATCACCATCCATTGCAAAGCACTTATTAATGTCATGTCACAAAATCAGTATTAATGACAGCTTCACAATTGTTTCATCACATAACTCTAATTCGAGGCTGGTTATTGAAGGTGATGGAAGCACTTTGGGGATTAATCACATACTTCCTAAACTATGTGTACAAAACAGAACAATAGACTTCAACCTTCGCCTACCATGGTCTGGCTACTTGACGTATTTAAATACGATTGGTGATTAGTACGTATGTACTTTCGTTTTATATAACTGAGTAAGTATCATGTCTTTTATTCTATTTTATTATTGTGAACCATGTTAGTTGTAAAGCGGTTATAGAGAAACTACGAAATGATGATATTATCTCACGAAATTTCTCCTCTAAATGTCTTATTCAAATATTATGGAGTGTTTGGAAAGAACTCCTTCTGCGTATTATTGGGTTGTTGCTATTGTAACTGAGTATTTGGTCTTTGTGAGTTGATTTTCTGATTTTACTTGAGTTTCTAATTTGTCTGTTGTTGTTTGCTTAACTAAGAGGTCGAAAATCGGAATTTTATCCTCAGATTCCTCTTCTCTTTGAAATTTGATGTCGTTGAGAACGCCGTTTATTAAGTTGTAAGTTTTATCCAACCCGTTTCCTGTGATTATAACGAATATTTCATCCGCGTAACGTATTGAAATTTTGGGTTTGATATCCGGTAAAATTATGTTATGCAGTCTTTGCGTCACAGCTTCTGCAATCATACCTGATATGGCCGATCCCGTAGAGGTGTTCCTTTAATATGTCCATATATTTGGCCGTTACATTGAAAAAAATGTTGTTAGACTTAGGTTTATGCATTCCATCCAACTTGTGTGTTACAATTTTGTTATATTATGTCATGTTATTCATCAGATATCGTCGAAGCGTCTGTATTAAGAGCCAAGATGTCAACAAATATCGACCATTTCGGTCCAGTACATTTCAGTCAAACGGGAAATATAAAATTACGCCAACAAATAATTAATTGTCTTCCTGGTTTGCTGACAATTTGACCTGTTTACCTGTTGATATGTGGAACCACACACACACAGCCTTGAAGTTTCTGTAGCAGTGTTTATTTTTACAGGATAGGGTTGATAGCCTCATGCCCAACGTTTCCTATTTACCAGCTTTTACTGCTGGCTTAGCGAGATTCAGGAGTGCGTCGGCCGGAGATTGCACCCCGGATCGTGTGCATGATCGGCGGGCGTCCTAACCACTGTGCCACCGACACTACACGTCAGTATGAACAATATTATTTTCAGTTAGTTCCCATCAGGCTTAACTCGTATATACCTACATAATTTCATAAATAAATATTAAAATATAAACCAATCACGTTGATTTTTGAATAGGATGATATAATTGTGCATATAAATTGTCCACTTATCACGGAAAATACCCATTGAGTCATGAAGGAAATAAAAGACAAATTCAGCGAAGAAAATTTTCTTTATCGACGAAATCATCTTCAGAGGCTGTACAGTCGTATTTATACTTAGAAAAATGTATAGTAGTCTATTATTAAGTAATAGGGGGTGAAATAATTGATATAATTAGTCACAAGTGGCTTTAGAAGTGAAAATTAAAAGTTGTAAATTACATGTTGTAAATTACAAATGACCTTTCTGCAGCGTTCAACAAATCATATGAACAACTCAAGTCTACAGTATTAAATAGCTGCCATCAGTACATCAACATGAAACCGAACGTCAGAAGATTGATTTCAGCCGAGCACAGAAAGCAACTGCGTGAGATTCTAAAGAACAAAGACTTGGTTGTGACACGCCCCGACAAAGGTTCTGGCATTGTCCTGATGGATCGCCAAGACTACATCGATAAAATGTTATCAGTCTTGTCAGATGAAAACAAATTTTCAAAAGAAAGCCAGAAAAACCAAATGGAACAAATTGAAAGCAAGCTAACACAAGTGCTGAAGAATATGAAGAACGAATCGATAATTAGCTCTGAATTATTCGAGCAAATACGACCCTCCGGTTCCGTGATTCCCCGTTTATATGGTCTGCCGAAGGTGCACAAAGAGAACGTGCCACTACGTCCAATCTTGGACATGAAAAATTCCCCATATCATGCTACTGCCAAATGGCTCACAGAAATCCTCCTACCTATCAGAAATAACCTCTGCAAGCATAGTGTTTCTGATTCGTTTGAATTCGTCGACTCAATAAATGATGCTAATGTATCTGGGAAGAAAATGATACCTATGGATGTTACTTCGCTTTTCACCAACGTTCCCCTCACTGAAACTATCTGCTTTATATGCAAATTCATTGAGGATAATAATGTGGACGTATGTGTTCCGATCCACTACTTAAAGGAACTACTTTTGAGGTGCACTCTAAATGTCCAATTCAAGTTCAACAACACGATTTATAGACAAAGAGATGGAGTAGCAATGGGGTCACCATTGGGTCCTTTACTTGCAGACTGCTTCTTGGCTAGTCTGGAGAATAGTATTTTACGGCCTACTATCGACAGTTTCCATCTGTACCAAAGATACATGGATGATACTTTCATCATATGTGACGACAATACCGATATCGAATTGATAACTAAGGAGTTCAACAGCTGCCATCATGCCATCAAATTCACGTCGGAATCAGAGATTAACTCGGAATTCCATTTTTTGGATGTTTTTCTAAAGAGGAGATCTGATGGTTCTCTTCAAAGATCGATCTACAGGAAACCAACATGGAATGGTCAGTACACAAATTTCCATAGCTGGGTCCCTTTAAGAAGAAAGAGAAATCTGATCCATTCCTTATCCTCAAGAATAAGGAGGATATGTTCAAGTGATACAATCGATGGGGAACTGGAGCGACTCAGACAAGTTCTCATAGAGAATGGATATCCTCCAAGATTTATCGAGAAAAACATGAAATTAAGAGAAAAACCTGAAAGAATCCAGACGGTGCCAAAGAAACTGCTTTTTATGAGTGTTGAATTTAAAGGTGATACCGCAGCTGAGATCCTGAAGAATCGCTCATGCAGATCACTGAGGAAAGCCTTCTTTATGGCTGAGCTACGTGTCAATTTCTACAGCCGACAAATGATCAACGGATGTGTAAAGGATAAACTGCCGCTTTGGGCCACCTCAATGTGTGTTTATAAATTCACC